TCTTTTAATAATATATACTGATTTGCATATACACCTCCATCTCAAAGAATCCTGAAATTTAAAGTATGCTAGAATGAAACATTATGTGAGGAATCGATTAATTAGCATAATTTATTCCGTATTGTTGCAATCTGATTCTGGCCTTATTTTTCATGAAAAAGACTTCAAATAAAATCAATATCAAATCCTTGTACATTTTAACAMTATAWKTACCTGATGGRAGTTCTTCTCAACGAGAAATTCGTGATCAAATGTACGAAAATATGCTTCGTTGCAGAAAATCAAGATATCGTTCAGACGTCGTTAATAAGCTCAGTCCAGACATCACAAACCAGCCGTATTCTTCATCAAATCGAAGAATTATCGTCTAAAATTTCTGATCATAACATAAATGTGAACTTACAACACATCTAAATGTGAAAATTTCCAAGTTTTCTGAGAACTCCCTCTCCGAGCTCACAATTCCTCGGCTTCGTTGTACACAGTCCTCCTCCTTCGAGGCTTTTTCACAGGTAGCCCAAGCAATTTTTTAAAGTAAAAGGATAAAACATTTTTTGTACCATGTGATGTGACTTTTGGTCTTGATTTTTTTGTGGTTACAAGCTAGTTATATAGGAAATTCAACTTTTGACAACAGCCTCCTTCACAAATCCCTAAGAATAAACTGGTTCGACTGATTCAGAAATTAAAGCAACTGTGCCTCAGCATCAAAATGTGACAACTGAGCAATAAGCTTGCAATAATGGATCTAAAAGAAGCTACTCTAATCCATTGACCAGTACTGGCATCCAGGGAGAGGGGAGGGATTTTAAAAGGAGGGATGATGGGCGTGGCAGTTACGAAACCTCACCCCTAAGGGGGACCAACCAATTGTGATTTTCTAGCTACATGACTGTAATTGTATGTATAAATTTTGCAAAGGATTTTGATTCAAGCTTTTTGTCCCAACTAAAAATGCATTGTAACAATTTTGAACCGAAAAAAAAGTTTGGGGGGTACAATTATTAAATTACTATATTTTAGAAATATAGAAATCTCACAATAATTATATTTAAGCATCTGTGAACATGGGCGGCGGAGCTGGGCAGCACTGAGGCAACCTTTCTCACAGACATTGTTTATTAACAGGCCCAACAAAAGATCTCCCTGAGGCAACCTTTCTCATCTATTAACAGGCCCTACACAAAAGGCAGATTCAGGAGTTTTGTCAGGGGGGTGCAACATTGAAAATGACACAAATGCACATTAATGTCTCACATTAGGACATGTTATAAAGGACACTAACATTAGTGCCTTTTTGTTCCTGAAAACCTCTATTCACCTTATTATCAGAACAAATTACGAAAAAATACAAAAACAATAATTAAAGTAAACCCTCAGTTTGATTTTTACACAACCTCAGTAGGTCAGAACAAATAGCTCTTAAAGTGACCTGTGTCAGTAATATGTTCTCAAGTCATGTACAGTAGGAGGTATTAAGCAACGAAGAAACCATTTTGTGGCAAAGGTGTGCATTTGTACAAAATATTGTGACAAAATTTAAAAGGAAATACCGAAACCACAGTGAAAATATTAACTTGATACGCCTGACCTCAATGAACGAGCAACTGATGCATATGCACACAAAACTCCATCATGTTTGAAAGCCTACGATAACCTCTGTATCACACAATATAAGTCAAAAGTGCCATAATATGTGTCCTCTTGCTTGATCAGAATAATTGACAAGCCTCAATGATCATATTCTTCAAAACATTCTGACTAGTCAACAACAAGCACAAAATCATTAAATGAAAACGTTTATTGGAAAATTATGATATACATGTACAGTAACTAATAATATGATAATTATTATAATTACTGTATGATGTCCTTAAATTCAATCTTTAGCTAAGCTTGAATGGAATACAGCAATACAAATTTTTTGAGTTCAAACATTTTTCCCTGGAAAAAAAATCATTTAAAGAAATGCTGTAATTGGGTCATGAATTTTTTATTTAATCATAATTATTATTTTATTTATTTATTTATTTTTTTTTTTTTTTGCTACCTCAATGGTGCTTTTGTCAATTTACTTCCATATAACATTGGATTAATTAATAAAGTGCTTTTCTGACCAAGTTTGGACAGACCATATGGGAAAACAATTGTGCTTGGTTCTCACAGCATGACCTTGGGCAAAATATTTTGGTGTAATTAATTGCATGGCCCAATCAAACTCAGTCAATATAACTACAATATACATAATTATAATTATTTTATACACTGAGACATGATCGCCAGGTCTGGGAATCAAACCCATGCTGTAAACCCAAAGTCTGTTGCATTAACCAACCATCATGTCTCTTTTAATAGGATGGGGATGAAACAGTAGAGTTTCAAACATGTGAAGTCACAATAACAGGGCACATGGATCCTTTAGTCTGATACAATTACAAATCACTAGATAAAGAACTATCTTTCATGATTTCTATTAGCAATCATAAAAATACTGAGGTTTTATGGATTAAAATAAAAACAGTTACCATTATTATAATTATTATTATTATATATTTATTATTATTATTATTATTTCATATTATTTCAAATTCATCATGATCTGGGTTGATGAATACGTCTTGAGTGACATTTATCAATGTGGTTTTTAGCACTTGATTTGTTGTACTCTTGCAGTTGTTCCCATCTAGAGAAACTTTCAAAATTCTTCAAGCGTTTCCGTTCACGTTGGATCATGAGATTGGTGAATATGTCATCTGTTCTGGTGCTTGGCACATCAGGACTGGCCAACAGTTTGGGTTGGAATTCTGTTTGCACTTTTGTTAATGTTTCCAGTGTTTTAAAATAAGACAAGACATCTGAAAATGAATGCCACATGATTATTGCTATTACTAGAATAAGGTGTTTCGATCGTAATAAATAGCGTTTTGCGCATATTTTTAAAACTCCAATACGTGGCAAACTTCGATTCCATTGCACTCGATTCCAATTTTCACAGAAGTAACAGTGATTATCGATAATTCTTATTGATAAATTAATTTGCCAAAAAGCGAAGCCATTTGGATAAACAATGCAAAATAAAAACACCTTCATTTTTCTTCAAAGTTAATTTTCTAAAAACTTATCGCAGAGATTGTAATAAAATTACCAGAATCATTTTTTAATAACATAATTGATATGCTGTCGAAGTTTCAATAAAATCTTAACCTAAAATTTCGAGTTGTTTGAGCAAAATGATGTACATTCGAACAACTCGGAATTTTAGGTTAAGATTTTATTGAAACTTCGACAGCATATCAATTATGTTATTAAAAAATGATTCTGAATATTTTATTATAATCTCTGCGATGAGTTGCAAGAAAATTAATTTTGAAGAAATATGAAGGTGTTTTTATTTTGCACCGTTTATCCAAATGGCTTCGCTTTTTGGCAAATTAATTTATCAACAAGAATTRTCGATRAKCAMTGTGAYTTCTKTGAAAGTTTGAGTGCAATTGAATCGAAATTTGCGACGTAGTTGGRGTTTAAAAATACGCGCGAAACGCTATTTATTACGATCGAAACACCTTAAACAAAATAAAATAAATATCAACAACATCAATCAACCTTTTTGTAAAAACTCACTATTTTTCCATGAAAAAAGAAAATTGAAATGGCATCACTAACCTTCGCATCACTAACCTTCGCATGACTTTGATATTGATTCCTTATCTTGCCATTTGATTGCTTTGAGTATCTCTTGTACTTGCTGTAGACCTGACTGACCTTGCTTGATCTCTTGCTGTCCTTGTTGTAGATCTGACTGACCTTGCTTGAGCTCTTCTTGTCCTTGTTTTACTGCAAAAGAGAATAGAGTAACCCTGTGCATATGATAGTCAACTCACACCTTCAGAACATCAATAAAAGTAACATAATTTGTTTGGTGTAAGCAATAGTACAAGACCTTAAAATGGTAATACTGTTATATTATCTAAAATGGGGATTTTTGGATATTTTCCTGGATAACTAATAATTAGAGTAACTTGTGTTAAGAAATGAAAAAAAATAATGAAAATGAAAATTAAGCATATAAGGCTTATTCTAAAAGATTCCCCTTGCCTCCCCACTCTCTTATTGAGTGGGTACTTAAAAGACTCCTGACTTTACTTACTTGCATCTATTTGTTTAAGGATTTCTTCATCTTGTGATGCACAATGTTTCACCAGTGATAACAATTCATTCAATGGTTGATGATCCACATCTGAAAATATAGAATTGTGTAGTTCCAGAAAATATCCATACCCCCACCACGGAGGATATTTCATTTATGACCCCCCGGCTCCCCCGGAATTTCCGATTTTTGACCGATTTTTTAAAACTCTTCCCCAGCCCCCCACCCCTCCAGAATTTCCCATAAAAAGGCAGTTATTACCCCTATCCCCCTCGGAATTTCCGTCAATACAAGATACGCATTTAATTAATCGCATAAATACGCCTGGCAATTTAAAATCAAATGTTTTTGAGTATCAGAAGAACAGAGGACAAATAGCAAACGAAGGCCGCAGAGATGGAACAACGAAGTCTAGCACCACATTGATTTGATATGCATGTATATCCATGAACTTTGCGAATTCTACCGGAACGTGAGCAAGTAGTTTCTTTACTGCAAAAATTTGCACTTCTATTACGATCTAGAAATCGATCTTTTCCTCCAAAATATGTATTTTTTTAGCATAGTAAATCTTAAATGTTCGATTTTCGTGTTTTACCTAAAGCTCAAGCTTCTTTGTGGTCATAAATCTTT